TTCCATGATTATATCAAGCTTATTTGATAGCAAATGAATGCGTTTATTTGCAAGTCAAGTCATGTTTGCATATTCACAATCTTTATGAAGAGAAGATGCTTCGTGTCACTCTAAGTTAGGCTTTATGTTTTTCCAATTATTTACCACAAATTGAGTCCAAAAAGTATTGGACTTAGGGCCCCAAAAATAATACAATATAGGCAAAAGACTTTGTCTAAAGTAATGCTATAAGATAGCCAATTTCTGGGGTTGAGGGAATCATCTATATTAACATGTCTATAATAGATGCTCCTGTTTAAAAAGTAAAAAAATATAAACTGGTATGGAAATAATGGATGGGTAAAAATTAATGAATATAAAATATTATTTAAAACCTCTTGAGAGTAACAGGATATTGAAATTTATTTGCACATGGCTGACAGGGGCCTACAGCAATTATGAAATTAATCAAAATATTTGTCATCCTAAATAATTTGAAGTGAAATGGGTCATTTGGTTAGCTGAATAAGACTTGGACTTTGAATATCCTCATAATTTATTCCCTTCAAAAGTTATTATATAAATTTTATTTAAATAAAATACCTCATGCAAAGTAAGCGCCTCACTAGAACTGGGGATTGGATGAGGAGATAATACAATTTGTGAATCTTCAATAACTGAGATTTTCTATAAATAAAGAGGAGTTTAATTTCTTTCCTTATGAAAAACTATTTTTTTAATAAAATTTTAGCCAAATGGTAATTTTTTTCTGCAACATTATAATTAAGTTTTTAATAAATGTTGGAAATATTTGAATAACCTCATAATCATAATTTATTTCCTTCAAAAGTTATCATATAATTCGTATTTAAATTAAATACCTCATCATGCAAAGTAAGCGCTTCACTGGAACTGGGGATTGGATGAGGAGATAATACAATTTGTGAATCTTCAATAACTGAGATTTTCTATAAATAAAGAGGAGTTTAATTTCTTTCCTTATGAAAAACTATATTTTTAATAAAATTTTAGCCAAATGGTAATATTTTTCTTAACTAAATTATAATTAAATTTTTAATAAATGTTTTAATTCTACAAGATATATGATTGAGAAAACAGGCATTAAAAATATTATGAAGTTCAGCATAAAGTTATCAGGTTACAATGGCAAGATGATACAAGTGATAGGTACAGCAGTGAATGTAGAATACAAAGGGAATTCACAAATTTTGAACGCGTTAATCATAAACATTAATAAAATGTCTTTGTTAGGAAGATCATGTTAAAACATTTTGAAAATATACTTAAAAGATTCATAGGCATGATAGATGCCGATTAATATAAAACTGCGAACACATGAAGAAATCATAAAAGACTATTATAATGACTGACTTATAAATAGAAAAATTAGTATAAATAACATTGTGAAATTCATGATGAAAGTATATTATCTAAAGAAATTCTAATAGCTAAATAAAACAATGATAAAATTATAAACATACATAATATCACGCAGATAACATTTTGGAAATAGTTGAATCCAATCCATATTATAAAAAAAAGTAAAATAATTTTGAAATCTTAATTCAATTAAAGATGAAAAGATTTAAATTTAAAAATTCCTAGAAATTAACATTACCTTACTTTTATTATTTTACTACATTATATTAACTTATTAAGTTTTTTTAATACTTTGGTTTTAAATTTTTATTTTAAATTGAACTTTATAAAGTATATATAGATATAAAATATTTAATAATAAAATATATAATTTATTTTCTCTATACCCTGACTCCCTTAATATTAATATTATTCTGGTATATATTTAAATAAAAATCAGTTTCTATTCACAAATTTAAGGTATATTCAATAATATTTATTGTCTTTAGTTACAATAATAAATAGAAAATATTACTTTTTGGAAGTAAGATTATTGTCTTTTTTTGCAACTGAGTCTCAACTCCATTTGTGATATTATATGGAATCAGGGTTTTACAAAAATCTTCAAATAAAAATTTGAAGATTTTTTTCGCCCAAAATTTTGAGGAAAAAATCTTTGAAGATCAATTTTTTGCGAAGATTTTTTCGCTAAAAAAATTTTGAGCTTGCTCAAAGAAGATTTTTGAGCAAAATAAAAAATATTTTTTGTAAAAAAATCTTCTATAATTTTGAGAAAATATTTTGAGAAAATATTTTGAGAATTTTATAATAAAATAAAATCTTTTGTAAGGAAATCTTTATTAAAATATTTTTGAAATTTTGATCTTAAAATTTTTTGGTAAATTCTTTAAAAATAAAATTTTTGATATATATTTTTTTTTATTTTATTATGTTAATGAAAATATTTTTTTTGAATAGGTTGTAAATGTGAGAATTGGTCATAATACCGACTGCATTTTTTTTAATATTTGGAATAAGTAATAATGATTATTTTAAAAATGTAATGTCATAATTTTAATGTTTTATATTTAATGTAAACTATAAAAGTGACAATTGTCATAATACTCATCTCAGAACCTTTAAAAATAATTATAATTAAAAAAGGCTAGTTGAGCATGTTTTGAGATGGTTTCAGTGATTGTAAAGCATATAAAGGTGACAATTGTCATAATACTTATTTCACATATGTTTTAATTGGAAATAGAGAAAAATGATTATTTCAAACATGAATTAATATAATGTGTAAACTATAAAAGTGACAATTGTCATAATATTCATAACAGAACCTATAAAAATAATTTTATTTTTAGGTATTAAATAGGCGAGAAAAAATTTTTTGAGCATGTTTCGAGATGGTTTTAATGATTGTAAAAATTGTCACAATCGTTATTTTTGAACTTTTTTAAAGCAAGTAGATAAAAATTTATTAAATATAAAATTAAATGTGGATGTACCATAGAGCAGTGACAATTGTCATAAACGTTATTTTTGAACTTTTTTGAATTTTTTTGAAGCAACAGAGTAAAATAATAAATTGTAAACATGTTAAATTGAAATTTAAATGTGGATGTACCATAGAAAAGTGACAATTGTCATAATCGTTATTTTTAATCTTTTTTGAATTTTTTTGAAGCAAAAGGGTAAAATTATATATTGTAAACATGTTAAATAAAAATTTCAGTGAAGATGTACCATAGAAATGTGACAATTATCATAATTGTTATCTTTGAACTTTTTTGAATTTTTTTAAAGCAAATAGGTAAAAATATATATTGTAAACCTGTTAAATTAAAATTTCAGTGAATATGTACCATAGAAAAGTGACAATTGTCATAATCGTTATTTTTAATCTTTTTTGATTTTTTTTGAAGAAATTATATATTGTAAACTTATTAAATTAAAATTTCACTGAAGATCTACCATAGAAAAGTAAAATTGTCTTAATCGTCATTTTTAATCTTTTTTAAATTTTTTTGAACTTACAGGGTAAAATAATAAATTGTAAACTTGTTAAATTTAAATGTGGATGTACCATAGATAAGTGACAATTGTCATAATGGCCATTTTTAATCTTTTTGGAATTTTTTTGAAGCAAAAGGGTAAAATAATAAATTATAAACATGTAAAATTAAAATTTAAATGTGGATGTACTATAGAAATGTGACAATTGTCATAAACGTTTATTTTAATCTTTTTTGAATTTTTTTTAAGCAAAAGGGTAAAATTATATATTGTAAACATGTTAAATTAAAATTTCAGTGGAGATCTACCATAGAAAAGTGACATTTGTCATAATCGTTATTTTTAATCTTTTTTAAATTATTTTGAAGCAAAAATATAAAATTATATATTGTAAACATGTTAAATTAAAATTTAAATGAGGATGTACCATAGAAAAATGACAATTGTCATAATCATTATGATCATTTTAGAATTTATTTGCTGAAACGAGCAGGTTTTTAGCTGAAGCCCGTCCATGGGCGGCCTAGCTTAATAATTTTAAAAAGTGCGAGCGAATCGGTTACAAAATTTTAACAATTAGCGGGCTAAAAAATTTTAACTTTAGTTTATTATTTAAAATCTATTAGGTAAACATTAAAAAGAATATATGAATATAATTCCCAGGAAATAAAATTCCCATTTTTTAAGATATTAAAAATTACAAAATTAGTAAAATAGTCACTATCTCCAGGTCTCTTAAATCTTTCTACATCTACATGTTGGTACCAATTAACATTATATTGTTTATTATATATAATCTTTTAGATTTTTCCTCACAGGAAGAACCATCTTATTCTCAAAATATTTCAAATTCAGTTTTATTTGGTATAACAAATAATTCTTAACCCAATCAAATAAATTTTTCTACAATAAACTCTGATACCTATCATAAACCACAAAAGAAATATAGCAATTGGAGTCAGGAAAAAATTGCAATAGCCATAAACAGAATAAGAGGCCATCCGTCAAACTCGCTCCTTCAAGGGGGAAAACGTATCGGTTTTGGGTACCATTACATTACAGCAATGAAAATTAAAAAAAAATTTGAATTCAATTTTATAAAAAAAAAATTATATAATACTTTTTTTCAATCTGGTGCCGCCTCGCTGGCACCAGCAAATTTCATTTTTTTGAGATTTTTATTTTCTTTAATTCATAAGGCAAAACATTAAATAAAAATAAATAAAGGAGGGAGAGAGAGACAATGGGAAAAACGAAAAGAAAAGAAAATGCATTTTTTATATTTTCATTTAACATTCGATTTTTTATAAATATAAATAAAAAAAACATTAAATAAATGTATCCCATCCAAATTTATAAATGGGGGTTTTATTTGGCCTCAATAAAACAATTATTTTATTCATTTTTTTTATTTTATATAACATTAATTCCTGATTTTTTATTTCAAAATATAATAAACAAGTGAAAATAAAAATAAAAGGAAAAAACAAGAAAGTTAAAATTAAAAATTACAAAATTTTTTTTTTATATATAATGCAAAATAAAAAAAATCTTAAAGATATTCTAAAGGAGCATTTTTTAATCGATTCTTCTGATAATTTAGCGACGTGCAGCATGTTTGACAAAAAGATGAAGTCAATACCATGTAAAATAAATTATTTAATGTATTTTTCAATATATTTTTCTAGCAAATCTTAAAAGACACATAACCTCTCAACACCCAAACATAATGAAAGCAGATGAATCTAATAGTGATTCGTCCTTCAATGCTAGAAATACAGCAAAAGAAAAATTCCCAAAAATTAAGATCGATAAATCTAAAGTAATTAATATTTAAATAAAGAATAAATAATTATTTTTTAGGTTTTTGAATGTATAGTATGGTTGATTACAGTCCATAATTTACCCATAAATTTAGTAAATTATGAGGGTTTCCGTATTTTACTAGACCCTATATGTCATTCTCTTCAAATGAAAATAAATACTCAGTCAGTGGTCGACAAAATAAAATATACCGCATCCGAAATTAGACTTCAAATTATACATGAATTAAAAAACAAGCTCATTTCTTTAAAAATTGATACTGCTACTAGATATAATAAATCAATATTAGGTATTAATGTTCAGTATATAAAAGATGGCCAGATACAAGTACGAACACTAGGAATGATAGAACTAATAAAAATTCATACAGGTATAAACCTAAAAGAAGAAATCCAAACAATTTTAAAAAAATACCAGATAGATTTAAAACAAATATATAGCATTACTGTGGATAACGGCGCCAATATGCTTAAAATGGTTGACACTAAGGCTAGAGATCAATTAAATAATGATAATGATCTATCTAATTCTAATGAAAACAATTTAAGCCAGATATTATTTAATACAAGTGTAAGTTATCAGGAAAATGTATGTATTGATGATGAAAATGTCTCCGTTTATTCTGATGAAGAAACACCAGAGGGTATTGACGAGGAAAATATATCAGATGATATAAGCAAAAGCTTTGGCTTAAGTTGCATTAGATGTTCTGCACATACTATACAACTTGCTGTAAACATGTTTATCAAAAAATATTTAAAACTAGACTTAGAGAAAATTCGTATTATAATTAAATTGATAAAATCTCACAAATATAAAAGATTATTTATAATGGACAAAGTTTCGAAACCCACGCTAGATACTGTTACTAGGTGGAATAGTACTTATCTAATGATGAAAAATCTAATGGATAATAAAACCTTTTATACTAAAATGGGTGAATTATACCCAGAAACTTTTATTAGTTTCGATTTATGGGATATTATCCTATTAGGTACATCAGTCCTTTTCCCATTATACAAATTCACAATGAAATTACAAAAAAGTAATATTGTAATAGGTGATTTTTTTGCTTCATGGCTAGAATGCAAAATGGAGCTGGAGGAAATGGATAATAATTTATCTAAAAGTATGTTGGAATGTTTAAACATTAGAGAAAGTTATCTTTTTCAAAATGACGCATTTCGTAGTGCGATATATATGGATCCTAGATTCCATTATGAAAATGGAAAATATCCTTTGGAAGAAGATAAAATATTGGCCAGGGTAAATTAATAAATTTATAATATACATCTTTTTATTTTAGGAACATATATTTGCAACTTGGAAACAATTGCAAGCTATTGACCCTCATGAAGAAAATACAACTCTAGTTATGCCTTCCACTAGTGATTATAAAAAAACAAAACTTGACCTTTACATTGAGCGTGATTGCAAGAAGGGACCTATATTTTATGAATTATGTAATAGCGATATCAAGCTAAAAATAAAATCGTTATTATACAACAAAAGATTGCCATCCTCACAAGATATTTTGCAATATTGGGTTTCAAGAAAACACCAAGATGCAGAATTATTTAAATTATCTCAAATAATTCTTGCTGCTCCTTGCACCCAGGTCTCAGTTGAGAGAGCATTTAGTGCATTGGCACTAACTGTAACCTCTCTAAGGACAAGATTAGACAAAGATATACTTGATGATATTTTAATTATAAAGCTTAATCGTACATTGTTAAATAATGTGATATTTTAAATAATTATTTATATAACCTATTTCATTATAAAGTTATTGTTTACATTGAAATTTTAATAAATAAAAATTCATATATTTGACTGATTTAGATTTTTTGTATGAATAGTATAATCAGAGGGGGGCGTATTTTACTAGATATATCCAAATAGTAGTTTCTAAGATCTAAAATTGATTTAAAAGATTAAAGAAAAAATATTTTTAAATTTGTTGTTCCCAAAAATATCATGTTTATATTGATGCATCTTTCTAGTTCAACTCCGTTCCGGTTGGCTCTAAAAATTTAACATATATGATACTATTATCATCTGCCCAGAGGTTTAAGTGTTTCCCAACAAGATCATATTAACCTAATTTAAAAATAATGGATATGACTATGAGTAATGTGATAATTTCAAAATATATATATTAAAATAATTTCAAAAGGGAGTTGAGAATTAGATATGTCACTTATCTATGGTACATATTCACTGAAATTTTAATTTAACATGTGTACAATTTATTATTTTACCCTTTAAGTTCAAAAAAATTAAATAAAAAATTAAAAATGATAATTGTCACTTTTCTATGGTAGATCTCCACTGAAATTTTAATTTAACATGTTTACAATATATAATTTTACCCTTTTGCTTAAAAAAAATTCAAAAAAGATTAAAATAAACGTTTATGACAATTGTCACATTTCTATGGTACATCCTAATTTAAATTTTAATTTATCATGTTTATAATTTATTATTTTACCCTTTTGCTTCAAAAAAATTCCAAAAAGATTAAAAATGGCCATTATGACAATTGTCACTTATCTATCGTACATCCACATTTAAATTTAACAAGTTTACAATTTATTATTTTACCCTGTAAGTTCAAAAAAATTTAAAAAAGATTAAAAATGACGATTAAGACAATTTTGCTTTTCTATGGTAGATCTTCAGTGAAATTTTAATTTAATAAGTTTACAATATATAATTTCTTCAAAAAAAATCAAAAAAGATTAAAAATAACGATTATGACAATTGTCACTTTTCTATGGTACATATTCACTGAAATTTTAATTTAACAGGTTTACAATATATATTTTTACCTATTTGCTTTAAAAAAATTCAAAAAAGTTCAAAGATAACAATTATGATAATTGTCACATTTCTATGGTACATCTTCACTGAAATTTTTATTTAACATGTTTACAATATATAATTTTACCCTTTTGCTTCAAAAAAATTCAAAAAAGATTAAAAATAACGATTATGACAATTGTCACTTTTCTATGGTACATCCACATTTAAATTTCAATTTAACATGTTTACAATTTATTATTTTACTCTGTTGCTTCAAAAAAATTCAAAAAAGTTCAAAAATAACGATTATGACAATTGTCACTGCTCTATGGTACATCCACATTTAATTTTATATTTAATAAATTTTTATCTACTTGCTTTAAAAAAGTTCAAAAATAACGATTGTGACAATTTTTACAATCATTAAAACCATCTCGAAACATGCTCAAAAAATTTTTTCTCGCCTATTTAATACCTAAAAATAAAATTATTTTTATAGGTTCTGTTATGAATATTATGACAATTGTCACTTTTATAGTTTACACATTATATTAATTCATGTTTGAAATAATCATTTTTCTCTATTTCCAATTAAAACATATGTGAAATAAGTATTATGACAATTGTCACCTTTATATGCTTTACAATCACTGAAACCATCTCAAAACATGCTCAACTAGCCTTTTTTAATTATAATTATTTTTAAAGGTTCTGAGATGAGTATTATGACAATTGTCACTTTTATAGTTTACATTAAATATAAAACATTAAAATTATGACATTACATTTTTAAAATAATCATTATTACTTATTCCAAATATTAAAAAAAATGCAGTCGGTATTATGACCAATTCTCACATTTACAACCTATTCAAAAAAAATATTTTCATTAACATAATAAAATAAAAAAAAATATATATCAAAAATTTTATTTTTAAAGAATTTACCAAAAAATTTTAAGATCAAAATTTCAAAAATATTTTAATAAAGATTTCCTTACAAAAGATTTTATTTTATTATAAAATTCTCAAAATATTTTCTCAAAATATTTTCTCAAAATATTTTCTCAAAATTATAGAAGATTTTTTTACAAAAAATATTTTTTATTTTGCTCAAAAATCTTCTTTGAGTAAGCTCAAAATTTTTTTTAGCGAAAAAATCTTCGCATTTTTCGATCTTCAAAAGAGCAACGATCTGTGAAGATTTTTGAATTTTGAGCAAATGTTAAACCCTGTATGGAATATCACAATTTAAGGATACCCAATTATTATTATCTCTTATGATGCTACCTTTGTAAATTTCATATCAGTTGGCTTGACATGAGGATGTTTATGTTTATAATGTTCATGTATCTTGTCACTTCTTATTTTAGAAGTTTTACACTTAAGGTAATTACACTTTACCTTAAATAAGGTTCTGTTACTTGGCATCTAGAAAGAAATAATTATTATAATATAATTTTTTACATATTATGTTTTTTATTATTCTTTGATTGCTGATATATGTTTTTAAGCATGACTCAAAAAATTACCTAAAATTTATCCTGCTAAAATCTAGAAATTTATTAAAAAACATAATATAAATATATTAACCTCTAAGAAAAGTACCAAATAGGAAATGTGTAAATATTAACTTGATAAAATGGTAAATGAAAATGGTTGACAAAGAAAGTATATATTATTTATTAATTGACAAATATCTTTACTTTAATTGACATTTGTCAAATCAACGATAACCATCATAATCGTATCAATTAATGGATTTAAAAAGATTATAATTCAAATCAAAAATTACCCCCCCCCCCCCAAATCAATACCTACCCCCAAAAAATTAATGCCTACCCATAAAAAATCAATATCAACCGCCCAAAATCAATACCTACCCCCAAAAATGCCAATTGGAGGCATTTGTCTCCTACCCCCCCTCCCTGCCCTGACCTTATAGACGCTGCTCCTGGGGTAAAACAAACTTAAATAAATTTTTTTTAAATTATATTAATTCTTTATTTAAAAATTAAATTGGCCTATCAAACCTATATGTGTAATTTGACAAGAAACAAATAAATGAATCTTCCATAGGTTTAATGAAATATATATTAAAAATTGCTGGGCTTCGGCAATATGGAAGATATTCCTAATGAAAAATTAAAATAATTTCTTTACTGCTTGGATGGATGCTTTATCCTAGTCCTACCGAGTATAAAGGGACTTTCTTCTGATGAATTTGATCATGGTAGATATTTAAATAAGTTTAGAGTAAATAATTTGTACAATTTAATTTTCAGAAATAATAAACTTTCGATTTTGAAGTGAATTCCAGGTTTATATAATCATGGGAAAAAAATTATCGCGAAGAAATAAAAAAAAATATAACTAAAAGAAAACGAAGAAATGAAAGATTTATGGAAATTATCTTAATTCATATTTATATATTCCTTAGTTTGTAGAGATATCGGTGATACTTTGCTAAAGAACGATTTGGGTCAATTTTTAAAACGGCCCGGTTAAGATTTTAGCAAATAATATTATGAAAGAGATTTGGTAAATAAATGTTTAAACCTTTCTGAAATCTATGAGTAAAATCTCCAAGCTTACATAATAATATTTCAGCTAAACTCTTAATCGGATCATTTTTAAATATCGACCCAAATCAGTCAAACTAATTCGTGGTATTAGATTTGTGACATAATTTATTGATATTCGTAAAAAAATTCGATTTTATATATATCGAATTTATTTTGATAATATATATAAAATTGTAGCTCCTCCCCATCGCTCGTCTAATTTAAACCATTGGTTTTAATCTGTGAACTTTCAAATCTTATTTCCAAACAGATGACAGGAATATAGATTAATCACTCACTATAAATAATTAATAAAAGCAAATAAGGTTTCAGACACCTGTCAATTCAATACTAAGTATGTAAAGCATTTATTTGCTCCAAATTTAAATTTTGTTAAATTTTTTAAAGTCAAAATAATTATAAATGTTAAAATATCAGTAATATGGCAGCTTCAGTCTTTGATGGTGAAGGATTTGGCACACCCGATCTTACACTTTTACCTAAGATCGACGAAGAATCAATTGTTAATAATTTAAAAATTAGGTAAATTTATTTTTTAATGAATATTATAAATATTATTATTAAGTTTGTAGGCCCAATCATAAATTAAAAAAAAATAAACCCAGGCCAGGCTTATAAATGATTTTATCCAGGCCAATTTTAGCAATAAATACTTTTTTAAATTTTATTTGCTTCTAATAAGTAAGAAATAGATTAATTTATATAGAACTAAAAAGTATAACATGATAGCATAGAAAAATTTTTTTTTGATCTAAATGAATTTTAAGAAAACAATTGTTCCAAAAATTAAATATATCAATTTAATAGTTGCAAAATCATTTAATGAAACATTTAATATTTATTTATGGCTCATATTATCAATTCCCCATTGAAATATAGCAAGATATAGTCAAATTATTTCAAATTAAAAATTCCTGGCCTGGTTATAAAATAATAAAATACTGACTGGAAAAAATAATTCAAAAAAAGAAATCTAGGCTTGTGAAAAATCTTGCTATACCTAAAATCTTGACCTTTGTAAGCCTAGTTTATACAAAATTTATTTCTAGCCAATCACCCAAGGCCTTTTTTTTAGATGTGGCCTGGTGAGGGTACAAACCAATTTTTTAAAAATTCAATTAGAATATTTCAAAATATTTATTTAATGTTATATAATAAATTTAAATATTCGGCAATGACTTTGATTGATGTTTATTTAATTCTATTAATTACAAATTTTGATATGGATATGAAATGATCCATTTTTATAAAAAAAAGTTTCTTTTGTAAATTAATAATTTTGATATTCAACCAGGCAAAAAAAAGAAGAAAAGAAGGAAATATAACATTCATATATTTTTTGGGCGGGGCTAGACTTATATTTTATAGATGCTGATATCCCCTGGCCTTGCAGGACTAACTATTATATATTCTTTATATTATAGAAATAATAAGGGCTCACTAGTTGCATTAGGGGGGGGGCACATTTTGTATAAAATGTATGTTTTAATTATATTTTTTTGTTATCCTTTTATTTCCCAGTATTAATGCTAGGTTCATCATTTTTAAAATGGAATTTGTGTATAGGCAGTTTAGAATATGAATTTGATATTATTAATGGTTGTTGTTCATTAATAAAAATTCACGTTCAACTTCACGTAAAATAGATAATTAATATAAATAAATTCCAAATAAAATCATATTAGCTATTAAAATCAATATTCTCATTTTCATATTTGATATAGAATACAGCATATCTATATAGTATAGTAATGATTAAATATGAGTTAAAATATGAAGTTATTTTAAAAAAAAATTCATCAATGCACAATAATTGTTTTTCAGAAATTTCCCTTGAGGAAAATTGTTTCAAAAACTGAATTTGTTAGCTAAAAATGTGTTTGACAGGAGCTGAAGATTGGATTGTCATGTTATACTTAATGAATAAGGATTCAGGAAATCCTTTTAAAATATTCAATTTTTCCCATTTAAATTTTTTTGATAATTAAACCTTGTCTAAATTGTCCACTAATTCATCATCAAAACAAACGAGATATGTTATGTTTTGTAATTTCTTCAATTCTAGTTTTATACTGATTTATTTAAATTTTATATAAATTTATATTTTTTTGTTTTGTGGGAACCATCCAAGGCCCTTCGAATTTAACTGGAATTAGAGTAAAAGTAAACATTAGTTTTGGAAAATATTTATAGAAAAAGCTGAAAAATTATTTTTAATGAACTTTTTTAAATTGAATCAACGTATTTGTCTAAAATATAAGTAAAAGAAATGTCCAATTCATCATGTTTAAAAAAAATCATGAACCTGTTAAATTTGAATGCATTTACAATGCAACAATATATTTGCAATATATTATATTATAGTATATAAATAATTTGTGATAAATTACTGAATAAAGTAATATTGCATAATTTTTTTAGATTGCAATATTAAAAGATCAATTAGATGGCAGTCACATTTTGACGGCCCGAGGCAGTTACCGTACCCACTCTACCATTCGCGGGCCTATACAAAACAAAATAATTCTGTAATAGAATAATAAATTTTTTAGAGAACTAAATTTAAATGCAAAAAATACCAATAATGAATATCATGAATAAATTCTTTTTAACCTATCTAATAAATTATTTTAATTAAACATAATTTGTTGAACAGATATTTTCATTTATTTTTTAGATGCCTATTCAAGGTCATCACTCAATACCTTTATTATAAAATTTTTACAATAAAACAAAATTTATGTATATAATTACAAATTACTTTTATCTAATAAAATAAAGGGAATTTAAAATCAAATTATTTTTTAAACTTTTAATGTAGCCAACTGTTTTTGTATATAGAAAGCATAAATAAATGAAATTATTTAATTTTATTTAAAAGTTATTAAATAAAAGAAAATTTATTCAAAAATATAAATAAATAATATCCTTATTAATTCTCTAAATAGTGATACCTTGCTGTACTATTATTAAACGTTATCATAAAAAGGTAATTCCTTTGGGTCAACGTTTCGTTTTTCTTGTTTGGACACATGACGGTTTGGTTTTAGAATTAGCTTTGTGGTTTGGTTCAGTTTTTATAATTTTAGGTTTGGTTAGGTTTGGAATTTAATTATGGTGAATTTCATGACAAATTTCTAATTTGTGGATTTAGTAATTAAAAATATAAAATTTTAGATTTCAATTGCAGCCAAGAGGCGAGATATGGGTGCTCAAAAACAAAATTAATCTAGTTTATCTTGGATATCGTTAAGCTAATATTCATTTAAATATATTTTAGTAATAGTATAAAATATATTATAAAAATCTAATTAACCCCCAACTAGGGCAAATACTAAAAATGAGTATAAAATGAAATCGGTACTTTTAAAATATAAATAAATCTAAAATCAAAATTAAGATTTAATTCTACAGAGATGAGTTATGATTATATAAACAAAAATGACCCAATTTTTCTTTTACTAAATTTAAAGCCATTGAAGCTGACATGATTATTCTAATATTTAACAGTAAATTATATATTTTTTTTAAAACATGCTCTCAAATAAGGATTAATTTAAAAATGATTTAATTTTTTTTTAGAGTTCACACTAAGGTTATGCTGGGACGATTCATCTGGCCCAATCCAGCCCTTCATAACAAATAAAATATTGACAAGACCACCATAGCTTATAATAAATTTATTTATTTCCCATTTCCTTTTCCCTGATCTAATATCACAATTAGGAATTAAAATATAAATAATAAAACAAGAAAAGTTTTTAAAAAAATATAGGGATTCGAATTAAATTATTTTTTGGTCTACATGCTACTTTTTCACAAGAAAAGAGCAAAATTTTCTGTCATCCATATTTTAGATAGAGTAGAACATTGCTAAAGCCCGATGTAATTCTTTAATTATTTACATTTCATAATTGAAAATTGGTTAGTAAATCAATTTCATCCAACTTATTAAATGTTTCTTAATAATCAATATTATTGCTGAATAATAAAAATTAGTGCCAAACTATTTAATACACCTTAAAATTTTGGTCAATTTTCTCAGGTTTATATCTTGTTCCGATATTATTTATATATCCAAAATGATAAATAGTATGTTTAACATGCCTGTTAGTATCATCGGGGTAAATAATTAATTTCAAAATTTTAATTATTTAATAAAACATTTTTTATGTGCCTGATAGACTGACTAACTAGATAAAAAAATTAATACTTGAACTTGCCTTTAGGATTCGCAAAAATTATGATTTTTTTGATTAAATCATCATTTTCTTTGATTTAAATCAAATTACATATATTATAATATAATTTTTTTATATAATATGCCCTGGAAACAAATAACCGCCGAGGAAAAGTTATTAATTGAATATACCTTAATCTTATATACATAACTATTTTTCTGTGAGATTTATGAATAAACTAATGTTATATATCAAATTTTAAAAAGTATTTTATCATATATTATCAATATTAATATTTGCTCATATATACTAATTTTTATATTATAAATCTAGAATCAATATATAAAACTGCATGCATTAATTTTTTTGCATAAAAATATTGAATATCAATATTTACGTGATACGTAATATATAGCGCATCGCCCTCTAACGTTGAATACACAACAGAGCTACGCTAGGTTTTCCTCATTTCCATCTAATTGGAACAATTTAATTTGGGTATAAAAGTAAAAATATGAGGAGCCCTCCACACGTTTATGGGCAAGCCGCACGTACTTGTAGGCACAACATTACGAAAAATGTTGCTTAAACCTCTATAGGCTTTAATTTAAAAGGAGTGGGACAAAGAAAAAGCCTATACCCGAGAACTACAGTATAATTTAATTACTTTAAAGGTGGGTGATGGCTGATTTTAAGCTTAATTTCTTTAGTGTAAGTTATAATTGCTATCAATATTGAGATATAATGTTCATAGAATCTGTAAATAAATATGATTAAAATAAAATAATATTTACCGTTCTATCACTTCAAAAATTTTTTTTATCTCCTTAATTTGACCAATATTAATTTAAATGATTTTTTAAGGAGTTATTATATTTTTCAAGATTATAAATTTAGAATTTAATTATCTTATATGCAAAATATAGTAAAATAATATATAATAAAACTTCTTTTAAAAAAATAACTAATATTATTATAGTTATAAGCTGGATTTAAATCGTTATTTTTATATTTAAAAGGTCATTGATTTTAATCGCGATTCTAATTAATTTAATGCTAACCCTACAACGTGCATTAAGTTATTTCAATTATTTTTCTGAACCTGCGGAATTATACGAGGTGTAATTTTCCGCAGAGATAAGGAGGATTGGAACCAATCATTTATCAAAATTCACAAAAAAATATTTGTTAGATAGTAGAATAATCGTAGCATTTCATTGTCTTGACCACTATTCTATTAAGAAAGCTTCATCTTGATCATGAAATAACGACGGTTATTCAAAAGTATACAACTAGAACGAAATTTAACGGATTCCTTTAAAAAAAAATGTGTTTAGAGAAATTTATATTTTTAAAAATTTAGATGGATTGTTTTATTGTAATGCCGAATTACTTTTAATTGTATTAATTGCATATTTAAAAATTGCGAAATGGGGGGGGGGGGTGATAAATTTATTTGAGAGGGCCTCCAAATTCCCCTCAGGATAGTTGACACTGAACCGTGAGTACTTTATATTTTTATTAAAATTTATCCAAAACTACTTCATTTCGTTATAATATTTTTTTAAGTTAAAAATATAATTTATTTGTTTCCTATATTATAACATATAAGAAATATATAATGTTGTATAAACCTAAATAACATGCATGAAGCTATATAAAAAAAAATTTACTAACCAAAATAATTATTTTATTTATTATATGTTTTTAATTTGACTAATAAAAAGAGAGATATAGATATAGCTAAAAAGGTTTGAAACCTGCATATATACCCCAACTTTTTTTTATTCATATATATATAGGATTTTTTTTGTTCATTAACACCTCTTCATCCAAAATATTGTAAATGGTTTATGCTTTATATAATTAAACGAGATTTTATGAGTATATCCACCCTTAAATTGACTATTAAATATGAAGTTGTACTTATTCACTTTTATTATGTACCTTTTTTTATTTTAGTTTTAAAATTACTATCAATATTTTATATAGATAACGTTTTTTCTAGTAATTTATTAGGTTTATAAAATATTAGTTTTTATTATCAAATTAAGCCATAATTTAATTTCTGAAACATTTTTAATTGAGTTTATATGATGAAAATGAAATAAGAATATATATATATATAGGTTTTTTTTAAAAATTTTTATTATAATAACCAGAGCAAATTATACTAAAACAAAAACTAGGATTTTATAAAAAAATATGTCACCTTACATTATAAAACGTTAAAATTATTAGGTGAAATATATTAAATTTAACATGCGAAATTATTTTAATAAACTGGTTTATTTTAGGGTTGTGAACCCTTCGACAAAAAAAGGGTCCGGAGTCAGGGTTCGGTCCGGGTTCAGGGGACATAAAAAAATGAATCAAAATAAGACTTTTCATTCATTTTTTATTATACTTCAATATACACATTCATAATTTACAAATAAAAAATTTTAAAATGAAATAATTTATATTAATGTTTTATTCAATCGCACAATCATAATATCTTCTAAAATATCATCCTTGAGATTTCCACGTAAATTAGACAATATATATTTAAAAGATGAAAATCCACGTTCTACGCTTACCTAAAATGGATAGTTATATTATTGTACTTGTGTCGCCGGTACAGCCATGACAATTTATATAATTCTGGATATATTGAAGAATTTTCTTTTAAAATATTTATATTCTTATTTATTCTCTTAACTTCTGAGAAATTTTCTATTAAAGATGCAATAAGCATTTTTTGATCCTCCTTTCTATCTGATGATAATTTGATTTATTTTTCTCTATCTAAAAGTAAAATTTCAAGATCATCAATGTTGCTATCATTATAATTATTATCACTACAACCAGTAGATAATATTGTCATATCCCCAATATATCGTAAATAATGGAGTTTGTATTCCACAGATCCTTAAGATGGGCTTTAGCCATTTGTTTTTGCTCAATATTCAAGAAAACTTGATATCGATGGTCTAAATATATAGTAGCATATACAACACTATTTTGCAAATATTGTTGCCCTCGAGTTTTTATGTTTTCTAATATTTCGTATGAAAAAGGACTAGTAAATCTTCTAAATCTAATCGGCATCTAATTCATATGCCATAAAAATCAGATAAACATAATTGTTCTGATCGTAATCTTAATTTTTTTTATTTTTAAAGAACTATACACTAGCATGGTCTTTTATTTGGCACCAATCATCTTCCGACAAAATAACTTCACATGCTCCTATAATAAAATCATTACAGAAATTTTTATCACTTAATAAACGTTCTAGCATCATACAAATTGCGGATCAACGTGTTGTGCAATCTAATATTGCCATTGACCTTTTTATTTCTTTTAATATTCTTACAATTGTAGGATTTCTTAAATAATGATAGTTTTAAAGTGATCATTTTTCAGGCAGTCATTAATAGCTAATTGTAGAGCATGGGCTGCACATCTGATGCAATATATATTTGTGGGGAAATCTATTAATAAATTTACATAATAAAATATTAATACCTACACTAGAAAATAATTTATGATATCAATCTCTAAATAAAATGGAAGTCCAGGAAGAAAATTGAAAGAAAAACGCGAAGATAAAATAAATGATTCCACGAAAAAAAAGTTAATAAAATTTAAAAAAATATTTATATTTTTAAAATTTTTTTATGACACCTAGAACCCTTGGACCCTCCACTTTTAAAAAGGAAAATACGAGAGTTCGGGTTCACATCCCTGGTTTATTTATTATATCCGAATTTTTAAATCATAAAAATTCAATTTATTTCAGCCATCTTTAAGTTGTTTTGTATATCAACCATTTCAAACAGTTGTAATTATTGATTTAGATATTTGTTGAAATTTGTAATTTTCTATATAATTTTGCACAAAAGGTATGAAAAAGGCAAAATTTATACTTATATTGGGGAAGTGCTTATATCGTTGAACCCTTATAGAAATCTTAATATATATGGTAGATCAGAGATCGATTCTTATAAGAGCAGAGAAACTTATGAAAGGCCGCCCCACATCTTTGCTTTGGCAGATAATGCTTACACTAAAATGAAACGATTTGCCAAAGATGTTTGCATTGTAATTTCAGGTATTTGCTATTCTTAAAATAATAAATTCTAAAAACTTTCACTGTGTTTTGCATGATAATTAACAGGTGAAAGTGGGGCTGGGAAAACAGAGGCCTCCAAGATAATTATGAGATACATAGCCGCCATAACTAGTTATCAATCACAAGCCCAAATTGAAAGGTTGATGAGATATATTAATTAATTTTTTAATTTCATCAAATTTACGAGTTATATTATATAGAAGTTAAACTAATTAATTATAATCTTGACAAAATAAATTTTTGCTGAATTATTATTTTAAAATTGACTTCGATACCTCGAATCCACCAATTTTTCCTTACATATAATAAATCTCATTTAGCCCTAAGCTCATGATCATTTTACACATATTAATTTTAAATAATGAAGTCTATAAATTACCTTTTACATTTTTATTAAATTATCCTAATTATAACTGATTTTATATCAATTAAAATTTAATATCATAATTTGTAACTAATTAATTTTGATAATTTAAATGAAAAATTTTCACGATTGCATGCATCTTTTGTTTACGAAGCATTACAGTTGAATATTATTATATACAGGGTTAAAAACGTTTTGATTGAATCTAACCCTTTGTTGGAAGCCTTTGGTAATGCCAAAACATTTCGTAACGATAACTCGAGTCGTTTTGGGAAAAATATGGATGTTATATTTGATTTTAAAGGTGAACCAATTGGTGGCCATATTGATACCTACCTTATTGAAAAGACCAGGGTCGTATTTCAACAGCAAAGCGAAAGAAATTTTCATATATTTTACCAGGTTGACCTGTATAATGTCATATGATTTTTTAATAAACCCGAGGTAGATAAACCCTCCATTATAATAATATAAAATTATATAAACAGAAAGAATTATTTGCTTAGGCTTAATGTTGGCTATAGTCAGCCTTATGATAAACTACGATATATATGGTAAAGGTTAGGCTTATTCGAAAGTCAATTTAATAATTTACTAAGAATTGTAAATTTTATTATTCGATTTATATGAATCCAATACGAATAATTCCCTTTTCGATTCGTATTTTTAATATGCCTATTAAAGGTCTGATGTGGATCAGGTTTAGTATTTAGAGGCGAGTACAGTTTGATTATACCGAAAACGAATTTATTCGATATTTAATTCGATTTGATTCATATTTTACCAATAAAAATAAAAAATTATTCGATTCGATATATGGAAAATATATATTTATCGAATAATTTTCTACAGGGCTGTGACCCATCCTTTTAAAAAAGGGTTCGGGTTTAGGTTCATCGTGTTCAGGGTTCTGTGTTCAGAAAAATTTTAATTTACATTAAATTGATACACTAATATAAAAAATGATTCCACGAAAAATTCACAAAAAATGTTTTAAATATTGAAAATAAAAAAAACAATAAGTTTTAAATATTTAAATATGTTTTTTATACATATTTTACATGTTATGTTTTTTAAATTTTTTATATTTAAAAAATAAAATGAAATAAAGAAATTTAATAAAAAAAATAAAATAAATTAAAAAATTTTAATTCTGTCCTGAACCTTACATTTAAAAAAGGGTTCTGGTTCAATAAAATATCAGAGTTCGAAGCGTTCTAGTTTTGGGTTTGGGTTTACAGCCCTGATATATTATAAATTAACCATTTTCTTAAATTTTAATAATCCATTTTTTACTTTTTAAAATATCTTAAGAATTTAATTCGAATCTAATTATGTTTTTATGATTCGTCAGTCAGAACATGAATAAAATATTATTCGATTCGCAAATACGAATAATGAAAATATATTTGATTTATATTTTTTGTAAATATAAGTCCTATTAATATAGCCATCATTTTCATAATGAAAAAAATACTCCTACTTACCAAAAATCTAATATTCACCACAAGAGCATTAGTTGTAAATATTTATTTTATAGTTATTAATAGGTGGCGACGATAAGCTACTTAATTCTTTATTTTTAACGAGAGATGTTGCAAAGTATCTCTACTTGAAATCTACAAACGTCAAGAAGGTTTATATTTAAAAAAAACATACATTATTATATTATTATATTACATTGAAACAGAATTTGTTATTCCATATTGATAAAGAAAATTATAAATCAACACGTTTTTCGCTTTTGACTATGGGATTTTCACCAGAAGAGACCGAGACTATTTTTATTATTATAGCCGCCATATTGCATATAGTTAACAAAAATTAATTTCTTTTAATTCAAAATAATGATAATATATTAAAATAAAGGGAAATATTGAGTTTTACGAGGAAGAAGGAAAATTGATTATAAATCCCGGTGAATCTCTAAAGAATGCCTGTAATTTGCTTAAATTGAAAGTGAAGTCATTAGAGAAAGCTCTTCTATGTAAAGTAATAGTAGCCCCGAAATATGATATTATGGTTACTTCGCTCTCAATACAGCAGGCCATTTATGCGAGGGATGCTTTCAGCAAAGTTTGTATTTTTTGAGGATTGCCTTAATTTATAATATTTTAATTTCAATAATGATAAAAAATAAAAACAAATTTTAATATTTTGATATAATCAATTAATTTTACATAAAGTTAAACCATCGGCAGAGTGTATTTTTTTAATGATACAAATTTTTTGCTTTAGCTTGCTAATTTTTATTTGTTATTTTTTTAAATTTTATTGAACTGAACTCTACATCAGCACAATGATAAAATTTAAATTAAAAAAAAGTTATTTTTAAAAAATAATAAAATTTGGATGAAGGCCTTGTACGAAAGATTGTTTTCTTGGATTGTACAGCGTATAAATTTTTTTGTGCAAGTTGACAAGAAAATTGTCCCTCATACGACAAATAATGTTATTGGGGTATTGGATATTTACGGGTTCGAAGTTTTCAATAATAACAGGTAAATAGAACAAAATTAATATGAATACAATGTAATATATTATATGGGGTTTGTTCAAAATAGTTTTAAAATGCCATCTATATAAGAAATATCGAGACTTGGGCAATATATTTTCGGCTAAAATCTTATTGAATTGATAAATATTTTTTTAAATTGATCATGATCATATGCTGGGGACATATTATATTTGCATTTTTACACACTTTCTATTCTTATTTTTCATAGTTTTGAACAACTGTGTATTAATTATTGCAACGAAAAACTTCAACAACTTTTTATCCATGTAGTTTTGAATGAACAGCAAGAAGAATATTTGAGAGAAGCCATTGAATGGAATTACGTAAATTATTTTACTCTATTTCTGAATGCTAATAGAAAAATAAGGCATTTTACTTATTTTTAAGTTAATTGGTTCAACTCCCGAGTATAATTAATTCATAAAACATTTTTTAAAAACATTATGAACTTTATTTTATAAAATGTTAAAATATTTTTTTGAAACACCTTTATCATCAAAATAACTCATTGTTATTTTATAAATTCTCTTATTCAATAATGAACTAAATGTTTATATTGGCTAATCAAAAATAAGTGCAAACTTTCTTATACCTTTATAAATATTTTAACGAGCCGAATGAGTATTTATCTCTAAACAAGATCATGTAGAATTACTATAAGTCCCATATTTAAATATAAATATATATTAAAAATAGATTTAATCCAATGCTGAGGGAAAAATAAACTTTACCTAGTGTGGTTAAACGGCTCTATAAAAACGGTCAACCCAATATTTTAGTCAAAAAGGCAAGCTTAGAGATTTTACTCATGGATGGCAGAATGGTTTGGACATCTATTAACGAAATCTCAAGGCTTGCGTAATATATTTTGTTAAAATATTGGGTTGACCGTTTCAAAAAAGCGTTTAGCAACACTAATCTCTTATCAATACTTTTCAAAAAATTGTGCGATTTTTATATTATGCCTAAATCGGTGAGGTAAATTAATTTTTTAACGTCCTTTCTACTTGTTTAAGAAAATCTAGGGACTTATAGGTTTGTAGTTTGTTTATAATGGCATATCCTTCCTTCAAAAGTTCAGAAATGACGATAGGACCAATTCATTATTCAATTGAAGATCGATATATGATATTTTCATTCTCTTTATCATTTTTTAAACAACCCGGTGTGTTTACTTAATGTAGTGACTGTAAATCTTTTTTTAAAAATGCATTAATACATTGATTTAAATTAAATAAAAAATTGTAAATAAATTTTTAATAATTAATTTTACCGCAAGCGTTTATTTTTAGGTAGATTATTTTGACAACAAAATAATCTGTGATCTGATGGACGAACCTCATAAAGGGATCTTTTCCATCGTAGATGACGCTTGCTTAAACGTGAGCGGTAAAATAGATGATGAAATTCTTTTCCAAATGTTAAGCGAAAAATTGAAAGACAATCCCAGATTCAGCTCTCGTCTGACTGACCGCTCTGATAAAGCCCTACAACATTCGAACCTTTTCAAGATTAATCATTATGCTGGGGAGGTCATCTATAATTCCAACGGATTCATCCATAAAAACACCGACTCTATATATCAAGTATAAATTCAGGGAATTTTCTAATTTACTATAATTTATCTACAATTATCCAGTTCGCAAATATTCAAAATTTTTAGATTTTTACTTTAAGGAATTAATAAGTATTATCAGAATTGTTGATAGATTTTTTTCAAATGGATCTAAGTACAGTTATATTGTCTATAATGTATCTGTAACTAGATATCTTCTTACGCATTATCTAGATACATTTTTATACAAATGTATTTATGTATAGTGACAATTTTACGCAAGATACATTTTTATTATAATTATGTAAGATGTGGATGATGTTTAATTTAGAAATTCAATTGTTAAAATTTAAATTTTGGCGTGAGCTAAAAAATATTATGGCATTTGATATCTCATCTATACAAAATATATAATTAAATGATAAATAATAATTGTTAAATTTTAATAACACATATATAAAATATATATTTAAATTATAATTAATAATTGTTACGTTTTAACAAATCATATATACCAAATAGGAAACTATTGCACAAGGATCTAAATTTTGCTAATAGATGTCCAAACATGTGCCATCTATTACCAAAATCTTTAGCTTGCATTTTTTTGGCGAAAATATTCAGTTAACCGTTTTTAAATCGGCTCAAACGAGCCGTTTAACAACATTACTCAAGAATAGTTCATAGTTATAATATTCAAAAACGAATCGAATGGCAATAACGATTTGTTTAAAAGAATCGAATAATTATATTTTCATATATTCCAATTTGATTCGAATTTTCGTTTAAAAAATAAAATAAAATAATAGGGAAATATGTTGAGAGATTTAAAAATTTTTTTATTGTACTATTTTCTTTTTTGAATAGCCCTAATTGATAGTTATCATTGATAAATACTATAAATAACTAGTTTTTAAATTGATTTTCAGGATCACAAGCGACTCTTGAGACAAGAGAGTGGCGACGCTCTTGTACGCAAGATGTGGCCAGATGGTGAGCCCTCATGCAGTCAACAGCGCAGGGCTCCAAGCACTAGCGCACTTTTTAAAGCTAGTACCAATTCTCTTATCAAAACACTCGCCAGCCGGATTACTTATCACGCGCGCTGCATCAAACCTAACCACGATAAGAGCCCCCTTATATTCGACAAGGAAGCTGTCGCTCGGCAAGTTATAAATTTTATTATTCATTGGCAACCTGATTTATACTCATTTTTTTTATTCCCACATGTATATTTTTGTTTTTTTTAAATTTAAATTAAATAAAACTTAATAATATTTTATTTCATAATTGGCGGTACTAAAATTATTCAAATAAAATAATCATTTTTGGATTTTTGCTATTCAAAAGTTGTGTTTATTTTTTCCATTATCAATGAATTCAATTTTCATCTATCTCAGTTTCATTTTATTTGTGAATGGTAAAAAAATGTTTTATTGGAAAATATGAAAAGTCCGCTATATCTTATTAAAACTTTTAGATTGGAATTATTTTTTAAAAATGATATATTTTAAAGATCTTATTTCAATAATTGATAATACCAAAATCGAATTAAGAATATATCACAAAACATTTTTTGGCTTCCTATACCATTTGGTTCAAAATTAAATTATTGTATAATTCGATGGTGATGTTAATAGCACTTACCTTGTACTTAAAATATTACTTACTTTCAGTGGCCCCTACAACAAGGGGGGGGGGGGTTCGAAGCAACTGTTTCAGTATTCTTTTTTAAAAAAAAAATTTTTTTTTTTAAATGTTTTAAAAAAATGATTTTTTTAAATTTTATTTATTATTTAATTCTTTTACTGTTTTGTTACATCCATCATGATCAAGTGATTTCTGGTTTATAAATGTAATAATACCCCCCCCCCCAACTAATATTTAATTTAATATATATTGACGGAAATTTTTCTATTTATTTCTTTAAGCATAATATGAATAGATAGTAGTATTCATGAAATTTTTCTACTTATTTTTTTGAGCATAATATGAATAGATATTAGTATTCATATTTTAATTTAAATATCTTCCCTCCCTCCCTTTTCTTAGGAATCAAATGATCCTATCAATATTGTTGGAAAAAGAATTGACATATTTATAATTGATAAATATCTAGAATTAGGAGCTCTTCAACCTACACATTATTTATTCCCCAAAGATAATAATAATAAAGACAAATCCTTTAATGAAAGCTTTTATGGAAAAACTAATATTGACAATAGCATGGATTACTTTAGGTATTAAAATGAATAAAGTTTTGTGCTTAACATGTCTCTTATTTGGAGGTCCACACACAAATTCAAAATGGACATGTGAAGATCTAGATAAATGGCAGAATATTAATCGTGATATTATTCTGCATGAATCTTCACAGGCACATATGATGGCCGATTATGGAAGGCTTTCTCACAATAAAAATTCGATATTAAAATTTATAACACCCCAGAAAGTATGTGTAGATAATAACCGTTCTATCATAAGAATTATAATAAGATGTTTAGATTATTTAATATCTCGTAATCAAGCCTTCTGGGGAAACAGGCAACAAGGTGATGGCCCTTATTAAGCTTATTGCAGATTCTGAACCTGTACTAAAAATGTATATACAAAAAAATGAAGAAAGTAAAAGGGATAAAAAAATAAGGGATTAAAAACAAAATTATATTCAAATCTATTATCATATAATAATATAAATATTCTCATTGAAACCATAAAAAATATAGTTATAAAAAATTCAAAATGAGATTACATTTAAAGGGTGCTTTTCAATCATAGTTGATGGCACATATGATGTTTCGAAATCAGAAGCAATAGCTTTGATAGTAAGATATGTTGAAATAGTGACGCCGAAGCCTGTTGAAAGACTGATTGACATATATTGTACGGGAAATACCACAGGTCTCGATATTAAGCATAATATAATATCCAAACTTGGCTCGATGAATTTACCCCTTGAATTTTTAGTTGGGCAAAGTTATGATGGCGCCTCAAACATGAGTGGAAGAATCAAGTGTGCAGGCCTTGATTAGAGCAGAGGCGCCAAAGGCAGCTTTTATTTGGTGTTATTGTCATCGATTAAATTTAATCATTGTTCAATTATGCCAATCAATTAAAGAACTTCGAAATGTTCTAGGAATACTAGATGAGATTTATATCTATTTTAATGGTGTAAAAAGATATGAGGTACTCAAAAAATGTCAGTGTAATAATCTGAAAAAATCGCAACGATTTCTACGCATCAAGAATACCACTCGGTAATAATACCTTATTTATTTAGATTTAAAATGTTTTTTTATTTAGAAGCTGACTATCGTCATATAAAGCTATTGTAAATTTTTTTCTACTTTATGATGCCTTGAGGGCAGCTTTAACAAATTTAAAGGATTCTGAAGATCCTGCCACTTCCACTATGGCTAGTGCTATAGTCTTTAGAATAGAAAAATTTGATTTTATCTTATCACTTTGTGTTTTGGATAAAATATTGTTGATAACAAGTTTGGCTTGTACAATATAGCAAACCATTTCGAAGGATATAGGGTTTGCAATAAATCAAATTCAATTGGCAAAAGATTGCTTGATTAATTTGAGAAGTATAATATAAATTATTGTCTTAATTATTTTTTAATCTAATAGATAATAACATTGAATTTTTGGATGTTTTTTCAAAGGCACAAGATTTTATGAAGGAGAGATATCTACCTTTTGAAAGTTATAGACTTCAAATCAAACCTTACAATTCAAAAAGGAGAGGTATATATACTTTCATCATTAAATATAGAAATTTTTTTAGCTTTAAAATAGGTGTGTCTTATGCTGCACTTCCTACAACCTCATGTACTGCCGAAAGATTCATGAGTAAAATTAAATTAATTAAAACAAGACTTCGTAGTACCATGAAAGATTCATTTCTCAATAATTTAACCATATTATCAATGGAAAAAAATATATTTAACAATTAAATATTGATGAATTTATAAATTCTTTCGTTTTCCTCCCCCTAATTTATCTAAATTATTAATTTAAAAATAATATTTATAAAGTATATATTTTTTGCATTTTATTTATATTATATATTAAAAATTGATGCAATAAAAATTATTTTTGAAATTTATGGGTGTCATAAAATAATTATCTTCCGGGAGGGGGGACTTTTCAAGGGGGGTATTCTGCTTCATACGCTCAGAAAGTGTAGGAGCCACTACTTTAATTTCTAACTTGATTAAATTTCTTATTAAAAAATGTATATAAAGCCAATTTTTTTTAAAAAGAAGTTTATTCTATCACTAGCTGATAGCCCGTCAAGAATGATGGGGATCAGAATTTTCTACTTTATTCAATGATGGATGAATGGTAAATTTTACCTTTATTTGATGATGGATGAATCAGAAATTTTCCTATCTTATGAGATGCTTCAGAACTTTATATTTATAGATGAGGGGTTATTTAAAATTTTCCATTGATATATGTTTATGAAGTATATATTTAGTAATTTTAATTTATGTGCACAATATTTAAATAAATTTTTATTGATTTGTATTAATAATTTATAATCTAAAAAATATATTCTTGTTAGAAGAGTTATGTAGGGCAAAGTTAAATTGAAAATAAGTTATCAAAACTCATCTAACAAGAATGTATTTAGATTATAAATTACAAAAAAGAATTGAATAAAAATTTAGTTTAGAAGTTTTTTTATTGTGCACATAAATTAAAATCACAAAATATTTACTTCATTAACATATTTTAAAAAATAATTGAGAATTTTAGAATAACCCCTTATCTATATAAATATAAATTTCTGAATAACACCTCATAAGATAGGAAAATTTCTGATTCAACCATCTTCATATAAAGATGAAATTCATTATTCACCCATCATTGAGTAAAGGAGAAAATTCTGATTCCTCATCATTCTTGATGGGCTATCAGCTAGTAACTTATATTTTTGATAACGGGTCTTAAACTAAAATATATGTAAACTTAAGGCATGGTCACAAAAGGCATAATTTTTTTTGTTATTTATGCCAAAATGATCATAGATTAATTTCCTCCATATATATATACACTTCACGATGGCTTTCTTTGTGTCCAACAATTTCTTGAAATGTTTGAAGCATCAAAATCATAATTTCACAATTCAGCAATTATCAGAAATTTTGTGCAATGATTTAAATAAAGCATATCTTTGGTTTGCCCATTCCTTTAGTTCAAATAAAGTCATATGAGAATTGAAATAATTCAATAAGTGAAATTTCATAGGCCTTAATTTATTCATCAGGTCCAGACCCAGTCACCAAAAATAATTTGCAGGCCCAGTCCATGTTTGATAAGAAAACCCAGCCCATCCTATTTCAAAAATTTTGCCCAAGTTCATATCTAAAAATTTAATTTATTGTTTTAAATGAAAATAAACAATATATCAGTGTATTTAGGTCATCACTTTGTTTGCAATACGGAAATTTATTATTATCAGAAAAAAAATACAATATATTTTTAAGTTAGTAACAGTTTAATAAGCTAAATTTAAATTAAAAATTTTAAACCCAAGGCCATTAAATTTTTGTATCAAAAACCCAAACCTGACCCAGGTTTGTTGGAAAATATATTATACATGGCACCCCATGGGTCACAAGCCGCCTTAATTTTTTTTTTATATCAGCTCATAATGCAAAAATTCAAATGAGTGGAATAGATTATCCGTATTCATTCTGCCAAGATTTCTATAAATTTTTAGAGAAAAGGCCAAATATATTATGAAAAATATGGAATAAAAAAATATGATTTGTGAGTTATATGAAGTTTACCTAATTAAGAAATAATTGAATTTTCAATTCTTTTAACAATTTTTTTACATCTAGACGCTATGGTTTTCATCCTTCTCACTTATAATATCATATAAAATCTTAAATTTCTTTGAAGCCAATTTTAAAAGACACATTTTTAATAACAAAACCAAAATCTGTTTCCATGATAACAATTACATTGATTTACCGAGTTACAAAATTACAAATCTATGATATTTCATAAAAGTGATAATTCATAAAGCTTGGTAATTTAACAACTCTCTAGAATTATAAATAGTTGGTTATTTTCTAATTTGTCCATCAATAAGAGGGTAATTTTTGATTCATCCCTCATCAAATTAAGGAGAAAATTCTAATTCTTTGTCAATCTTGATGATCTATCAGTTAGTAATCATATAAATGCAAATGTTTACTTATGCATAAAAATTACCTTATTAAAAGATATATATTCATATAAAATCAAAATATTTATTAGATTATAGGATTGGATCCTTCCTTAAGGATTTTCAACAATAGAAGGCACAAAGCACTCCTTGGTAAATTGTTCTCCAGAGTTTTTGAGTAAGTTTGCAAAAATTCTAATTCTTTATCAATCTTAATGATCTATCAGCTAGTAATCATGTAAATGCAAATATTTACTTATGCATAAAAATTACCTTATCAAAAGATATATAATCATATGAAATTCAAATATTTATTAGATTGTGGGAGATTGGATTATTCCTTAAGGGTTTTCAATAATAGAAGACACAAAGCACTCCTTGGTAAATTGTTCTTTAGAGTTTTGAGTAAGTTTGCATCTTCTTATGACATGGATCCATTTTTCAATACGATCTATATTATAAGATAATATATTTGATATAATTTCAACATTGATACTGTGAAATCTAAATCCTAACCCTCTTATGAAATGGTTCCGTGTCAATTCAGCGAAACTTTTATCGCGAATGAATTTTATAGCGAAACTTTTATCGCGAATCCACATTAGCAAATACTTTTCCGCGAAGACAATATAGCGAAACAAATATTGCGAATTTTTTATAGCGAAACTCTTATCGCGAAACCTTTAAAGCGAATACACTAAGAGCGAAATTTTTATCGCGAATCAATAATCGCGAAAATTTATAGCGAAGTCAATATCGCGAAACATAAATAGCGAAGACAATATAGCGAAAACTATTTAGCGAAATATCACGCGGCCTATTATTATTTTTTTTTATTAAAATAATTTTTATTTATCAACAAATAAACATATTATATGATATATATTTTTTATTTATATTATTATATTATGAAATAAAAAATGGATTACTTTTATTTGATATTTTTTTAATAAAAATGCATCTTAATTGAAATTTTAATTTAACATGTTAAAAATACATATTTTACCGTAAAAAAATCTAATATGTTTAAAAATACCGATTATGATAATTGTCATTTTTTAAGGAACATCTTCAATAACGAATATAAAAATTGTCAGATTAAATTATTTTCCTTAAAAAGATCATATAAAATAACATAAATAAGTTAAATAAAAATATTTTTAAAAAATATTATTTAGAAACCCACCTCTTTTAATATACTTAAAAATTAGATAATTTTACAAAAATAATAAAAAAAACTATAAAAGATTTCACCTATAAGATTGTTTATTTATAATAAATTAAACAAAAGAATTCTCAAAGAAGATTTAAAATTTTTATCAAAATATGTTCAAAATCTTTTTGAACTTCAAGAAATATTTTTTACTTAAAATCTTGGGCGTGAAAATAACTAATAAATTGTAACAAAAATAATTATCATTTTTTATTTAAAAACATCAAATAATAAATAATATGTTGTTTTCCTTTAAATAAATGCATTCGCAATATATTTATTGTTTCGCGGTAATGCTCACGCGATAATGACTTCGCGCAAACATATTCGCGATAAAAAATTCGCTGTAAAGTGTTCGCGTAGAATGTTTCGCTAAAATGTATTCGCTTTAATAAATTCGCGGTTAAGGTTGCGCGGAAATAAATTCGGGACAATGGCTTCGCGAAATTGTCCTCGCTATAAATGTTTCGCGGAAATAAATTCGCAAATTTGGTTTCGCGATTTTACCTTTGCTATAAAAACTTTTCGCGATAAACGACATTCGCGAAAAAGTGTTTCGCGATAAAAGTTTCACTGAATTGATCTGAGGATGAAATGGCTAGGCTATATTTCTTAATTTGATTGATTTCCATTTATTGATAATTTATCTAAATCTGAGGCATCTTGACCTTGAGTATACAATGTGAAAAAAATATTTATTAAATAAAATTATCTGTATAAATTACCAATATCATTAACGTTTACTGGTAAGGTATCTTGGGTATTATAATCATTACCATAGAAAATATTAATAATAAAATATATAATCTAGCATTACATGGCTTAACATTTTCATGATGATTATTGGACGAATAAAATTTAGCTTTACTATTGGCTAAATTTGATTTACATTGTAACACGGCTTTTTATATTATAGAATAGATTACTATGTTTCAAAACTAAAAATAAATACATATTAAATATACAGTCATTCGTTTAAACATTCTAATATTTAAGATGAAATGATTTACTTTTTAATATAAAAGATTTTCATACTTTTAATTAACAGGTTCGATATCTCAATTTAATTGAAAATACGCGCGTACGGAAAGCAGGATTTGCCTATTGTATTGGATATACTCGTTTCTTAGCTAGGTTTATTTTTTTCAATTCGTTCCCATTAAATTGTAATGCTGTAGTTTATCATGTCTAAGAAAATTTTTTTAAAATAAGTGAAATTTAGTTATATAAATTCTTCTCTTCTAACTCTTACAAATTATATATTTGTAAATTTTTTTTAAAAAAATTTCAACGTAAACTGAAGAATATAAGGGTAATTCCATATTAAATCGATAACTTTTCGGCCCGACCTTTTTAATTTAGATGAAATTTTGCATTCTGAGAAAATATCATTAGAAGACAAATCCAAAGTTTTAGCCTCCTAGAATTCATAGTTCCTGAGATATCAATGGTCAAAACCCAAAAATGACCTTTTTTCAAAAATTGATATAAGTTAATGATTTTAAAAGTATAAGTTATTTATAATTTTGTAACTCTATTAAAGGTCTTTTGTTAAATATTAAGGATATTTTTAAAATTATTTTCTTGTGGTTTTTATTTACATTATAAATTTTAAACACGAAAACTCCAGGTGTTTCTCTTTCCAAATTTTTTTGGATTTTTTTCTTATTCTCTAACATTATATCTATTCATAAAAAAAATTCAAACTTGGGACAACCATGGGTTTTTTAGTTATTGCGATTTAAAAAATCAAAAAATAAATATTTTTTCAAAAATGGATGGCGTTCCTATATAAAATGACGCGTTTGTTAAGATTATTATTTTTTTTTAAATTTTTTATTAATAAGATTTTCCAGCATTAATATCATGAAATGAAATTATTTAGCTGTGGTTATAATTATTTTTTAATTTTTGTAAAATTATAAATTAAAATTCATGAAAGATATTAGCTATTTTCGGTTTTTCATTAAATTTAATTTTTTGACACCATGATAATTTCTTTTTGCTATAAACTATATGAACGCCCAGTAACCGTTGATGGTCTAACTATTGTCAAAATAATATTTTTTGGTAAAGGAGATCTTATGCCACTGGATAAGCAAGAGAATTTGCCGGTCCTTGGGTGAAAAAAAATTAGTTTGTAATTCATCTACATTCATTTTGTACAAACCCACCAATCGTTTTCATACACACAGGTTACATATCGTCTAATCTCATCGATTAACAGATTCTCAATCAAAAGATCCTCACGTGGATATACTATATTCTCCACAATAAATCTGTGAATAGAATATAGTTTAGTGTTGAGCTTAGTTAAACCAATCGGAAACACTGCGTTTTTATGTCCCTGTTACTGAGATAGATTTTAAATCTCTCACTCTTCTTACTCTGGTATAATTTTTTTTTTAAAATGTATCAAATGGATTGGAGTAAATGGAATGAAACAGTATTATGAATTAAGGAATCCGATATTACCACAAAACTTAGGTTGTATTTGATCTCCTATTTTATAATAAATTGAGAATGGATGAAACGTAACTTGTGAAGTTGTCCAATGATAACCCTGTCTTGGAGAATAAAAAAATAATTTTCTGAAAAGTCACAAATAATTAGATAGTGATAATTTTCTTAACTATTTTTAAGGTTATTGTGAAATGAACTTTGTTGTTCACAAATAAATGAATGGCGTATGAGAATATTCATTTTATCGAAAAAATAATAAATAAATTCGTCTGAAGATTGAGAAATAGTCTCCAGAGTTATTCTATATACCGAAACCCACTCTAGAGGTAACAAGAGCTATATCATTTTTTATAAATAATTTTTTGATGCGTTCTTTTAAGAGTGCCTAGCCAGGACAATCTTTGCAGTCACCAAACTAACAGATGGGTAAAGGGGGATTGCAAATCATTCTGCCTATAACATCTCTATAAGTTATTAATGTATCCTCTCACAGCCTAAAATCATAAATTTAATATTCTGGTTTATGCTAAAAACGCATACACTATGTGTTCCGCTCTACCTGCTAATACACCATTTTTTGGTCTAAAGCTAGCAAATAATTGTTATGTTTAAATTACTCTCCTTAAAATGATTATATAATTCTTTTAAATTATTAAGAACTAACCTTTTTAAGCATTTACTCCTTCTCCCTATTCAATGATAGATATGCAATCTTTTTTCCCTGGTAATACCCTACTAACTTTATCACTAAAATTTTGACAAAGATATTTTGCAGGCTTTCGATTTGGAGTTGAAATAATCCACTTTTCTTCTAAAATGATTTTGGAATTATATGCCATAAGGCATGTAGCGTTGAATTCCGTTTTTTATTATATTTGCGCTCAAATTAGGAGGTAGAATGGTCAGCAATTGTTATTTTTTATTTTTAGATAAATTAGGATATTGTAATTTCATATTATAGAGTATATCATTATTGTCTTTTGTATCCGATTTTGCATTGTTAATTCTACTTTTTGGATAATTTTTCTTAGTTAGTTATTTTTCATAGGAGACATACCAATTTCGAAGTTATATTGATTGTATCTATTGATGTGGATGCTGTTGTGATATTATTTATTCGCTATCAGAATTTATATTTTCATTATTTTTTTGTGATAAACTTTACGACATTTATCACAAATATAGTGTTCCTCCTCAATGTTTGGAAATTATGTCATCCACGTCATGATTTTACACAGGTTTTTTATAATTAAAGTGTTTAGATTCTTTAAAAGGATTTGCGCATTTATAATTTTAAGAAAAATTAATATTTGTAAAATAAAAATTAATTAATATCAGGGCAGGTGCGTGAAAACTTGCTGTTATCCTTCAACAAGTAATTATTACATTTTCTTGTAGGAGATATCGGAATCGTAACTATCTTTTTAAGAGATTTAATCATTTATTATAAAAACAACTAATTTTTACATGTTATCAATATAGTCAGACGATCTAAATAATGTTTTTTCATGATATTAATGCTGGAAAATCTTTTGATGCTTAAAAATAAAAAAAGTTAAATAATAATCTTAGCAAAACGCGTTATTTTATAAAGGAGCGCCATTTATTTTTTAAAAAAATAATTATTTTTTGATTTTTTAAATCGCAATAACTTAAAAACTCTTGGCTGTCCCGAGTTTAAATTTTCTTATGAATATATATATAAGGTTAGAGAAGAAGAAAATATTAAATTCAAAAAAATTTGGAAAACGAAAACCTGAAGTTTTTATGTTTAAAATTTATAACGTAAATAAAAACCGTATCAATATTATTTTTAAAATCATTAACTATCTCAATTTTTTGAAAAAAAGATCATTTTTGGCACTTTTGACTATTGATATCTCAGGAACCATGAGCACTAGTAGGTTAAAATTTTGAATTCGAAGCTTTCTAATGATATTCTCTCGCTAAATTTTATCGAAATTAAAACGGTTGGGCCGAAAGGTTATAGCACCCCCCCCCCCATCCCACTTTTTGAAATGAAGAGAAGGAATTCTATTCCATTTCCATGCTTATCCCACTTCTAAATATATGTAGAATAGGAATTCTATTCCCTTTCCTATGCAAGCAAACTTATCTTCTATTCAATAAGCATCATTTTTTGAAATAATAACGATTTGAGTAACCACCAATAACCAACCATGTTTTATTTCTAGTTGTTAAAATGCCATATCATTTATTTATGGTATATTTTCTTTTGGAATTCCGTAATCACTTATGTCCTAGCTATTTTTTATAAAAATGTCAATATAAACTTGAATGCATAATGCAATTATTGATTGTTAAATATTTATCATTTAATATCATTGGTTCTTATATGGTTACTTATTATTTGATTTATCAGGAAAAATTATTTTATATTTATACATATATTATTATTTTTTAAACTATAATACTGTTTGAAAATGTTTAAAGAGCATAGACGAGCAAAGGAAGGAATCTTATCTTGAATACTGGTAATAACCTTAGTATTTACCTCTGCTCTCATAAGTATATAAACCGAGTTAAACCCTTTGATCTGTTTTAAATATATCGCTCACATTATTACATAATTTTGCATATTGCTATTTTGTCGGCGCCAGCTAGAATATAGATGTGATCTCAACTATAAAATTTATTCGTTCTCATTATAGATATTATTTGACTGAAGAGAATCTTGAAAATATTTTAATTTTATAAGCAAATAAATATTAAAAGGTCATTCCATTATAAAAAATTTACCTTTTCAGGAAATGAAACATTTGGTATTTTTCAAAAAAAAAATTAAATTATTTTTAAGAAAGGGATTCAAATCTAATCATACCTAATTTAGGTCTTGATCATTATATTTTTTAAATAATTTATTTTTATCGGCGTTTCCGAATTAGAAAGGATGCCATTTCTTATCTTTGTCCCGCCATATTTTCGGAACTAATTTAGTTAAAGCTTTAAATTAAATTGCATAGGTCCTCATAACATATTTAATCATCATGTAAAAGTTCATTCGATTTGAAAGAATTCCACGAAACCTAATCGATTTCAATCGAAATGACCCTTTTACATCCAAACTTCCACCCGAGACTATAATCTAATAAATGGTTACATTTTTATTTCATTGCTAAATAAAAGTCATGATATATTGTTAGAATGGATCTAATAAATATAATATATGAAAATGAAAATTAATTTTATTTAAATTAATAACTCAAGCGATTTATTTTAAAAAATTATTAATTTATTCTAAAGTATCGAATCCATTATATTTTTATACCCCAACAATTTTTATTTTGGATATGATTTTATTTATTTGATTTTAAAACTTTACAATGATGTTAGAAGTGGAACTAATAATAGTAGTGGGTGAACATGTATTTTTAAAACGAAATGACCACTATTGAAATTATTTATAACCTTAATTTCAAGGATTATAAATTAATATAACTTTTGGTCTTTGCGAAAATTTTATAAATTTATATAATATTTGGTCATGTATTCCAAATAATTAATGATTTAAATACACTCTGAATATATTATAACTCTGGGAAATTGGTGTAAAAATGGGAGCTCACTCGGTTATAAAAAAATAGAACTGTGCCAAACCCAGCTAAAAAAATTTTTTTGTTATTCGAATACGACCAAATATTGCCTTCTGTTCTCGTCTACGGCAATATAATTTTTTATCCATTCTATAACAGTAAAAAATTTTATAAAAAAAATTATCTAGGTATAAATTATTATCGAAATATACTTGGCCAAATCATCATTTCGCCTCAGACAAAGAAGCTGTCGCAAAGTTATTGGATGAAAAGGGATTACAAGAAGACGTTGTTTACGGTAATACAAAAGTTTTTATTAGATCAACTCAAACTATTTTCAAATTGGAACAACTAAGAGCCACTATGTTATCTGGTGTCGTAGTCTTTTTGCAAAAAGTATATTTAAAAAAATTAATATAATTATTTACTAGATTGAAAAATCTATAAAAATTACATTTTATAATGTTTAGATCTGGAGAGGCAAACTGGGTAGAATGAAAGTCAAAAAGATTAAAGCCGTATACAAGATAATGAACTGTTATAAACATTATTCGATAAGACAATATTTTAATGCCTTAAATAACACCTTTATAAGCGCAGAAAAATCAAACAGCTATGGTAAACATTTCTATTGGCCCCCATGCACTATATATTGCCGACCTTTCGAGCCATTTCTCAAAAAATTGTATAAAAGGTTATACGATATTATGAATTATAAAATTCCTGTCAAATTTTATTTAAATTAGATAAAATAATTTTTAGATATTATACTAAATCACGATTAGAGTCATGCATACAAAAATTATGAGTAAAAGTCAAAATATTATTAAATACACTAAAATAAACTTTCATTTATTTTTTGATACAGATGGTGGGCTTTTATGATATTAAAACCTATTCCGAATTCCGAAAGAGTAGTTTTTAGAAAAAAAATTTTAGCTGCCGAAATATTTGTTCCACATCATATTGATTGGGGTTATGAAGAAAAATGGCTCGGAGATTATCTTATAATGGTCTTTTTCTATTAAAAAAAAAATCACATATAATAATACCTTTTTTTTACACAAAGGATGAAGAAAATAAGGACCAAAATAAATACTACCAGATAGCCCAAACTTTTTTTACCTATTCTTCGAACACCGCTTTAAATAACATAATTCATTATTCTGAGCCTAAAAGCGATATTTCTCAAATATCAGATGACGACACGATTGCTCTTAATAAACGTTTCTCCTTTTCTAAAGAGTCCATATCCTTTTCTTCATTTTTTAAGAAGGTAAAACTAATTCACTATTTTAATTTCAAAATAGAATTAATAAATAAATAAAAATGTTTTGATCATAAAAATATAAAAGATAAATAAATATAATCGGATCAATGATAGAGCTATAGTGGTAACTAATAATGGATACATATTTAAATTAAACCCTAAAAACGGTTTCAAAATAATGAAGGCACCACTATTTATTAACAAGGTTTTTAAAATCGAAAATTATAATCTTTATTTTAAATTATTAGATAACTGGTTTAATATTAGCAGCAAATCAAAGTCAACTTTTCATTATTAAAAATTCAATATATGACGATTTGGTCGGATGCTTGTATAATTATAGCAATGCTAATAGAATAGGAGAGTTAGTTGGTACTTTGAGAATGATTTGTCAAAAGTAATCATAATTTGATATCTTAAATGTTGTGTCATCTTTGTTTTAACTAATTTTAATTTAATATATTACTTGTTACTGTGAGGCCTAAGATAACATTATTATTAGATTTAATAATAACTTGAATGTTATTGAATAAACGTATGTTGCATAATATTTGACTTGAATTTACGAATCTAATAATTGTGCTATTCGTATTCTTAATATAATGATCGAAGAATAAATAATTGCAGGCCTAATTATTAATTCACTTAATTTTTTTAAGGAACTATATAAATTTTTTGACAAAATCACAGAATGTTCAATAAAGATCTGCCAATAACTATTACTCTTAATCCTCATTTTGCGTTTGGGCGGAAAAGTTTTGAAATATCTTTCGAAAATGAATATAAAAATAAAAAAATATCCTTTTTTCGAAATGGTTTTGGAAATCGCAAGAATAATGGCTTCCTTGCTGACAATAAAAATATTTTCAACAATCTTTCAATTGGAAATATTGTAGACAATACTAGTAAAAATAAATCCAATAATGGAAAAGAACCCAGAAAAAATATTAGTAATGAAGAAGTTGATTATCATCATACGAATGGTAACAATAATATACATAATACTATGCCCAACTTCAAGTGGACTCGTCTAAATTTGAAAATTGGATCTTGAAGATTAGTAGTATAACTAGCATGTTATTTGCATTATATAAGTGTATGAAGAAATTAAAATTACTTAATCATGATATAGATTGCATTGCAGCATTAAATAAATCTTTTTATATTGCTCATATGTAATAGTAAATAATTTACAATTAAACCTTTTATAATAGTAAATAATACATTATCATCTAAGTCACTTTAATTATAAATGTATATAATTATTTAAAATAAAAGATTTTAACTTACAAAAAATCTAAATATTTTATGAGACTCGGAACTTTCACGCATCCCGGATATTTTTAAAATCGTGTTTTCTAATTTTTATATTTTCAGGTCCCGGATCCCTGTTGTTTTTAAGGTTATAAAATATTTGAGATTATTAAAACACATTAAATAAGAAATAAACAATCAATTGTATTTTCTACTGTGAAACCCAGTTTTTTAGATAAAATATTAATACATCCGATTTTTGAATATTTAATTTCTCTTTAAAACTTTTTTTTACAAAGAAAAGGTTAGGACCTTTCTAGTTCCCCCCTGAAAAAATTAATAATAATAAAGTTAACTACTCCAGGGCGTACGCAGGAATTTGGTCTGGGGGGGGGGGGAGGGGTAAAATTTTTTATGAAATATTGTTATTTAAAAATATCAAGCATAAATTTATTAGGACTAATAACTATTTCTTATACACAATTTTAAATTGTGAATTATAAAAAATTATATATATAATAAAATATAAAGTAAATATAACCACCATATGAATCACTTAAATGACCCAAAATAGAAATTTGAATTTTTTTGTGCCTTTAAAATTTATATATAAAGTATAAAAAATTTAAATTTTGGAAATATAAATTAATACAAAAAAAGTTTCTTAGGAATAATTTAGTATGTTATATATTTACAATGTAAAATCCAATCTTCGTTGGAATTGAGCTAATTTTTCAATTATCTCATCCTTGCTTGGCGTCAAATGCCTATGAATATTCAAAAGATTCAAACTATACAATCTACTTTTAGAATTGTACTTCTTAGGTATGTTTTTCTTTCAGAGACCTGTAGGCCCGGCCCCCAGGCAGGACCATATTTTGATTTTTTTTAATATACCCGGGCCTAGCCAAAAATTTTTTTAAAAAAACACCCGGTTCGGGCCTGAAAATTTTTTTAAAAAACACTCGGTTCGGGCCTGAAAATTTTTTTAAAAAAACACCCGGCGGGCTGTGTATTTTAAAACCAAATATTTTAAATCGTCATTATTAGCTATATAAATCAAAAATAAATAGAATTTATTTTTAAAAAATCCAGGTCGGGTCTGAAAATTTTATTTTAAAAATAGCCGGGCCTGGCCTGAAATTTTTTTTAAAAAAACAACCCGGGCCGAAAAAATTTTTGAAAAAAACAATCCGGGTTGTGCCCTGTAAATGGTACCTCTGGGCTATGTTATCCTTCTTAAAAAAGAGAATGTTCTCTCATTAGTTTACTAATGGGAAGAGTTGCTAATATATATAACCATTTTAATACATTGGGATATAATTAGACATGTGCGCCGAGAGCATTTTCGGCGGCGGCATTTCTTTTTTAAAATGATCGGCTGGCAGCGGTGAATCGATTTAGACGCCGCCACAAAAATCGGCGGCGGCACGGCGGTGTCAAATATTTTTCTAACTTAAATTTTTTTAATTAAATTTATAAATTTATTGGAAAGATTTTTAAAATAAAATTTATACTTTATTATGTTAATAACTATAATTTAATGATTTTATTAAGTTAAATTATCATGAATAAATATTATTTTATTAAGATTTAAAGGACATAATAATGATCTTTTAGAGATCAGAGTGAATCCAGCTATAGAAAATGCACGCTCACTGGGTTTGCTCATAGCTGGAACGCACAGGATCTTTCTAGCTAATATTGAAAGTTTAGGAAGATTTAATTTTGTTATTGCCAGTCACACTTTCCAGCATTATTAAAATACTATGCCAACGTATAGGCACATTTAATTTTAAGGTTTTATGTTTTTTTTCATATGATTTTTGATTTTCACTATCATCATCAAACCCCAAACGATCTTCATAAAAAGGATCATTATCATCTAAATCTAAAATATCCGATGTATATGATATCGATTCAAAACATTTTCTATTATCTATATCGTTTATATTTTCAAAATCCGCTGTTTTGAATCTTAAGGCAACTATAAATTTTCTCACTTTTTTAATGAGATTTTCTATTTTATTAACTTTTTTTATTCCATCGACTGTCACTAGATTATGTAATCCATGCCCCAAACATAAATGATGGTCATATTCTCCTAGGCGAACACTTTTCTTTACAATGGGTCCTGCATCCGTAACCATTTGAATTTTCTTGGACCCTAAATCAAATTCATTTTCAACTTTTTTTATCTCGGAAAAAATAGTTTCAGCGGTTGTGTCGCCAATGTATAAAATACAATATTAAAATTATTATTTATTTCGTGAAATGTAAAGTGGACATAATTTCGCCGTTTATATTTGTCGGTCCACATATCAAAAGTTATAGCACAAAATTTAGGACCTATATTAATTTGTTGGCATATGTATGTTTTCATTGATAAATACACATCATCTAATCCACTCCGGCTAAGTGTAGTTCTATCTGGTAATTCTTTGGTATCTGAAATAGTGCCATATTTCTACATAATAAAAAGTTAATAATAAAAATATTATGCCAAAAAATTCTAAATATGGGATATTATAAAATAATTAAATATCTTAACATTTAAAATAAAAATTAAGATTCTAAAAAATTATAATGATTTTACAACTTGCATTCCAGTATTATTTATAGAAGAGAATGGCATTAAATCCTTGCAACACATGAGAACATAATTCCTGACCAGAATCCATTTTTTTATCTTTTATAGGGTCAATTGTATCTTTTACAATAGGTTTGAAAAATAACTTTAAATTTTGTTTAGATATATCTTCTTAACATGATAAATCATGTTTGTCAAGTAAATGTTTTATCATATTTGATGTGCTGATATTTTTTGAAAAAGATTTTATTGGATAACTAATTAAAAATTTACAAATATTTTTAAAATAATTAATACTATGAAAATGAATAATTATTTTCATCCTCACCATCTTTATCAAGTGCTATTTGCAAGCATATATCACAAAAGATTTTAT